CCTTCCTCCTCCTCTTCTTCCTCTTCCTCGCCTCCCCCCTCCTTTAAAATAAACAAGGTGTCCCCCCCTCAGCCTCTCCAAGCGGAGACCACTCACTATTCGGGGTTCATGGCGGCTCCTCCGCGACGGGTGGGCGGCTGACGGGCGGCTCTCCTCTCCCTCCTGCCTTCTCTCCTTCCCCTTCTTTCCGGGCTGGCGGCTCCGGGCACGGTTGTGTGTTTCTATACCCACTATCCCAAAAGCCAGGAAATAGCCCAAAACTGCTGCACAATCTCGTGTCGGCCTTGCCAGCAGGAAAAAGGAGACCAAGCCTGAGAGAGCAAAGGGACGCTGAAGGTTGACCAGCAACAAAGGGAGGCGTCCAGAGGGCCTACAGCAAGGGGTCTCCCCCAACCTTGGGCTTCCAGATGTTCTTGGACTTCCACTCCCAGAAATCCTGGCTAGCAGAGCGGGTAGTGAAGGCCCCCTTCCCTCTTCCTTCCCCTCCTCCGTCAGTGCCGACTATATCACTGCGCAGGCGCCCGCCCGCCCAAGAGCACGCCGGGAAACGTAGTTTCCGCCCGCCCTCCCGCCTACTTTGCCGGCCGGCGAGCCCGAGGCATCATGGGAAAGGGAGTCTCACGGCTCCCTTTGGGAGGACGTCGGTGGGTCGCCCGCCCCGCCCTTCCTGGGTCACATGGACGGGGCGCGCCCGCAGGCGACGCTCCTGCCCCACAGGAGGCTGGGAAGTGTAGTTCGCGCCGCAACCCTGGGCTGAGCAAAAGCCCAGCAGGCTCTCACCGTGGGGTAATGGATGGGAGGATGATCCGTATTATTAGACAGCTAATGGTTACAAACAGAATAATGCCATCAAACAGAACTATTTATATATTGCATTGAATAATCTGTATTCAATATATACCACACATTGCCTTAAATAAATATATATGCTAGTGTATAACTATATATTGCATCTATATATACAGATATTTCAGGTGTAATTATATACTTAATTTAAGAATAATATACTTTATTCATGTAGGCATTGTAAAATATATTTATAACTTGCCAACTTTTATTTCAGTATCAATGAGACCATGATACAGCTGTTCTGTTGCAGGATTAAATACGTACTTATACACAGAAACGGACTTGTGAAAATCAACCACCACCGTTGTGCTTAACAGAATCTGAAATTCCTCATTCTCCCATTGTCCTACCATGTGTAATAAATATATTATTTTGACCGGGCTTTGGTTACAAGAGCAAGGAGACCCCTTTCTAGAACTGCAACAGCAAACTCCCTGCATTGTGAATAAAAGCATGTTTAAAATGTGCATCTATGAGTACGCAAAGCCCACTGTGCGCAAAAATGTAGGTTATGTTTCGTTCACACCTATTTCTTGATGTACCCTGTGTGGTGTAGTGGGTAGAGCAGGGTTGAAATCCCCCAACGTCTTGGGGGGCGCTGAACCTATAAAACCACTCCTTAAATATCTCACTGCGTTTGAGAGCCCAATTAGGGTCATTATAACATTTCAGATTTGAGAGCACATAACAAATTTATATTTTGCCTTACTGTATTTTGGGGGGGCTTGGGATGCGATGAGAGAAAAGTATACCCATTTTGGAAAAAATCATCATACAGGGAAGACCTCGGGCGATATGTCTGCCCACTATAGGAAAGGCCATGGTCTCCAGGATTACACCTCCTGTCCGAGCATCAGCCAGCATGCCTAATGGTCAGAGGTGAGCCCCACAGGTTGTGAAGTCATAAAACTAATAATCACTAATAATCTCATCTTGCTTATCTCTCTCAAAAGGATGCACAGTCCCTCCCTCGCTTCTTTAATCTGTTGATCTCATTGTTGTGGGCAGGGAGAACAGATCTGTCTTCCTCATACCTCTGCCTCGCTGCGATTCTTCCACAACGGAAGAACGGCGGCCGGCCATTTCGATAAGCAGGAGGCCGAACAAAGTGGACATAAGAAAAAAATGATGAGAAAAAAATTTACTTTTTTTCCTTTCCTTTATTTATTTGTTCATATCTACAGCAACGGAATTAAATACAGAGCAAAATTTGCCCCTCTCCTGTTTTTTTTCCCTTCCTCTCGGCCCACCCCAGAAGTTTACCGAGCCTTCTCTCCACAATATGTACGTGCACACACACACAGTCAAGCGATATATGTTGTGCTGGGCCCTGCCCATTTGTGTTTGTGTGTATATATATATATCTATTTTCCCCTCCAGGAGAGGGGTGTGGATTGATAACTAGACATTTCTTGAACATTTTCCACTGGTTGCAACAAAATCACTGTACTCCCTTGGTTGTGTAAGTGCGTGTGTTTTAAATCATCATTTATCTCTTAAATACTGAGCTATGGACATGGAAGAGGACACCAGGTTTTTTTTTAAAAATCCATGATCTAACTTCCAGGCAGAGGAAAGAGCAAATTCCAACAGAGGTAGGTTCTCTCTCCCAACCATGACAGGAGAAGACGCAGTTGCTAAAATTCTCCCCTTCAGCAGCAAGCCGAGGAAATCGCGGCCAACCTGTTTCTTTATGACAAAGACAGAAGGTTATGTTTTCTTTTTTTTTAGGGGCAAGAAAGCAAAACATTCATAGAAATAAATACAAAGGGTAATTGCTTCCCCCTCTCATGTCCCACCCGTTAGGGGAGTTTAGAAACCTGCCTAGGAAATAAAGCAACTGAACGTCGAGCGTGCGAGAATTTTTTAAAAAAATAGACGCACAAGTGGCGTGGTCGACTCTACCCTTGCACGGAAAGAGATTTCGATCCATGCTTTTTCCACGACTGCCTTCCCATATCTGGTGGGAGGAATATTCTGCCATGTCTTATTCCTGGAGGAGCCCTCACCAGCAAAATCTCAAGCTGCTTCACAAAAAACCCCGCGCGAACACCCGATAAGAGAGAGGGCTACGATTCCTGTCTAAGCCATAATCAAGGGGTGCGTGAACCCCAAAGGACCGTCAAGGGGATGGCTAGCGCCGTGCGCCGGAAACCCTATCCTCGATTGATTGTTCCAGCAGGAAAGGGAAGACGGTCGGGAACGGACCCCATGGCTTCTTGAGAAGGAACAGCAGGGCTTTTAGAGGATGATGCCACCGATCAAGGACACAAGACAGATCCCACAGTCTTCTCCACCCACCCCACCACCCTGCAAGACACGGCGAGGCTTTCGTAGGCACAAAAGGCCCCTCCGCTGACATGCGCGCAGGACGGGACCGAGCCTGTTAAGAGGCCACCGGTATCTGGGCACCAAAATTAAAAACACCAGGCAGACGGAATGGGGAGAGCCTGCAGAGGTTAAGGGGTTGGGGGGGAACAAGCACATAGGATGAGAAATCAGAATTTTAACAGGGTCTCCCTGAGTCCAGAAGAAAAAAACCACACAATTAAGCAGAGTCAAAACGGGAGGGAACAAGCACGTAGGATGAGAAGAAATCAGAATTTTAACAGGGTCTTCCTGAGTCCAGAATAAAAAAACCACACAATTAAGCAGAGTCAAAAATAGAGAACAGCGCCAGCTGCGACAAGGAAGCATGGGAATTGTAGTTCTCTTTCCATGGGGTTGCCCTGCATCGCTTCGAACAATCTCTCTCTTTGCAAAGAAGCCGTCTCTGAACCTTTTTAAAGCTGTCCCTTTCCTTCCATGATACTGATTTTATTTTAATTCAACCCCACCCGGGATAAAAGTGTGGCCAGGTTTCTGCCCTCCACCCCAGAATCACGATCCCCGGCTTTGCACAATGGTCGTGAAACCTCGGTGCCCCCCCCCAAAGAAGGGTTCGGCCGATTCGGGGGCAGCCTCCTCCCCCTTTTTTTCCATACCAGGGGAAAAACCTCCCCGGGGGGGGCAAAAGACAATATGCTGAGTGTCTTGTCCGAACAACCATGATGAAGATAAGCGACAGAATCCGGCGACGAGTGGAAGACGTGTGAATTTGTGTGAATTTGTGTGTGTGCGCCGTACATGTGAGCAAAGTGAGGAAAGGTCTACCCCCTTCCACAAGGCAAGGGTGTGTGAGGATGCCGGCCGGGGTTGGGGGCCTTTCCCAGCGCCCCACGGAAAGCAAGTGTTCACAGGCAAGAGCAGCTGCGCGGAGAAGGCGAGATGGCCCGGCCCCGGCGCCCGTCTTCGGGGGGGTCCAAACCCAGCCGAGGAGCTTCCGTTCATGCCAGCAGGGAACTACGCCGCGACAGGTCGACGTTGCTGGCGCTGAGGCCCCGGCTCTCCGAGAGACTACTGGATACCTGGTCCGAGGAGCTTCCGTTCACGCCAGCAGGGAACTACGCCGCGACAGGTCGACGTTGCTGGCGCTGAGGCCCCGGCTGTCCGAGAGACTACTGGATACCTGGGGGTCAGGGCGGGTGGGGGGGAGATGGGAAGAGAGAACCCAAAGGGAGCGAAAAGACAAGCCGTCACTGAAATATTCGGGAAATGAGAGGTTCAAGTGGCAAGGAGTGCCGCCGGAACCACCCCCCCCAAAAAAAAAGTGGGGGAGGAAGGCTGGAAACGGCGGGTGCTGTCAGATGAGGCAAAGAGGGAACCTAAAGGCACTGAGGATTAAAATTGTGAGGATGGCTACGGAAAGCACTTCTCCCAGGCTTCTGGAGCAGAAAGGGAGCCCCAGGAGCGGATGCAGAATTATTTTGCCGCCATGCGCGGAGAAGGTGTGGATGATATTTGGGACAAAATAGACCGAGGTCTACCCTCTCCTTCCACCCCCCCCGCCTCCCATTTTCTGGTGATGATAGTGGCGATCCAGTCGTGAAACCACGAAGGTTGGAGGGCAGGAAGTGCCAGAAGGGCCGAGAGGCCTGGCGGTTGCCTAGCAACCGACAGGCCTTTCTTCCTGAAAGCAAGCATCCCGGCGTTGCTAAGCAATCGCTGCTTCCTTCCCCAACCAAAAAAAAAAAAGCCTACAGCTTTGGGGTGGTTGCTTGGCAACCGTGCAGGATGCTCCCGGCCTACCCAGCAAGAGGGACATTTTGGGCACATTCTTGGCTCGGCCTGGCAAACCATTTTGTACCTGGCCGGTCTCTTCTTCGACGCTCTTGTTCAGGAAGTTGAGAGAACTGGCTCGCTTCATCCTGCGAGAAAATTAAAACATTCACAAATTATTATTATTATTATCACAGAAGGACCCACCCTATCCACGGGATCAGTATCCTCTGATTCACTGACCCACGGTCTGAAAAACGTTAAAATATTAAAAGAAAAATCCTAGAAATGTATATTTCTAAAGACGAAATTACCAGAACGGGTCATTAAAGAGAGCCAGAGACCAATAGTATTCACTATTAAAATAGGGTTCACTATTATCCGTGTTTTTCAGCATCTGCGGGGAAGCCTGGGACCCATCCCCTGCATATATGGGCAGTCCTACTGCATCTACATCATCATCATTCAGAAACACCAGTCGCTATCAATCAAAACTATAAAAACATTTAACCCAAAACCTAAGTATCTGTTAAATACAGGATGTATGCTGCTCCTAATATTGCTGTTTATTTGTAGCTCTGATGGTGTGATTTCTGAGACCTGCAACTGCTTATATCTCTCCTACAGAAATTATTATTATTATTGTTATTGTTCTATAAATGGGAAATCCTGCATTTTAGCCTATAAAAAGAGAGGAAATGGGAGTTCCCTAAGGGAAGAATTCCCTATAGCCGCCTTGAGTCCTTCTAAGGAGAAAGGCGGGATAGAAATATTTTAAATAAATAACAACCAATACAGGGCAGAAAATGTTCTTTCCGGCTCCTGACCGATGGAAACAGAGCCTCCAGTTTCAGAGGCAGTCTACCTTCAAGCACCCAACACTAGGGACTTTGAAAAAAAGGGAGGTGCCCCCCCTTGAATGCCATGCCTGCCAAGGTTTTCCAGAGGTGGGGCTAGAATAAAGATGGAAACGATGGCCTGGTGAAGAGGGTAAACCAGCCCCGGGGCAAACCTCAATCCCACAGGTCTCGAAGCCGAGGCACGAGGTGGAGGCAGGGCTCACCCGGCGTTCCGGGGTTCCTGAGGACTGCTCCCTTGCAGCTTCTTCACCAGCACCTCGCTGCTGCGTCGCAAGGCGTCGCGCAGTTTCCCGAAGGAGGCGCTGCGCCGCAAGACTCCGGAGCCCACCTGGAAGAGACGGGGAGGACGGAGAGGAAAGAAAAGTGAGAAACAGGGGAGGAAAGATTAAAAAAAAAAACCTTCCCAATGTGGGTGAGGCTTTTTTATGGGTCTGGGGGAGGCCTAAGTTCTGCCCGAGGGTATCAAGAGGACTAGAAACGCTAAAATGGAAATGCAAAACCAGAAGAAGCAACCGGTTGAGTTTTTCTGGGATTTTTCCCCCCATATATCAAAATCGATTTCTTCCTTTCCATCCTCCCACCACCTCCACATACAAAAAAAGAGTCGCCACGTCTCACCCCGGACCACTCTGCAGCTCCGTCCTCCGGCTCAGTCCCGTTCTCGCACTTCTTCGTGCCGGGCGTCCCCTCCCGATTGGGCTGGGGCTCTGGACGGTTCCCGTCCTTCAGCAGTTCCACTACTTTGCCCTGGACGATGGCGTCCATGCCCTAGAGCATGCACAAAGAGGGGAGGGGGAATTCTCAAACCCATCACCTCTTAAAACCCCTCCAACGGGCACATCCGGGGGTTGGTCTCCAGACAACCCCCCTCACCCTCCTTTTCGATAAAAACCCCACAACATCATACAGGAGACCAGTTATCCCAGGCTGGTCACTTGGAGGGAATCCTCAACTCGCCTTAGGCGACCAGAGGAGTCGCTCGAACCGTTCCTTTACCTGTTTGCGGGTTTTCTGGGCGCACGCCTCCAGGGCCTCCGCCGCCTCCAGCTTGCCTTGGCGTCGGTAAAGAGCCCCCAAGCTTTTTAGCGTGGTGTTGACCGTAGGGCTACGGGGTGGGAGAAGAGATTGCAGAGGGATATCCATCATCTTCCCCCCCCTCCCACTACCCTTGCATCTTGTTGGGCTCTTAAGGAGCTCTTTCGCCAGTAATTAGGCTTGCAGTGTTAAATCGAACAAATAAACTCATTAAGTGAAAATTAAGATGTGTGTGTGTGTTTTTTTTTAATATATTGGCAATATATTTAATATATTGGGCCCAATGTTAAATCGAACAAATAAACTTGTTAAGTGAAAATTAAGATGTGTGTGTGTTTTTTTTAATAAATTGGCAATATATTTAATATATTGGGCCCAGTTCTTACCTGTCCACCTTGCAGGCTTTATACCAGCTCCCGTACTCCCGATAGGGGGCACTATCCTTCTCCTTGCGCTGATCCTGAAGGGAACACGGGAGAACAAGATTTAGGGCCGCGTTTCCCCAACCCTGGTGTCCCCAGATGTTCCTGGACTACAACTCCCAGGAATCTTGGTCGGCACGGCTCGTGGTGAAAAGGCTTCTGGGAGTTGCAGTCCAAGAACATCTGGGGATCGTAAGCTTGGGAAAACGGTGCTTTAGGGGAAAAGGGATTAGCAAGAATGGGGGGGCTCTATTCCCAGTTCTAAACACAGATGGAGGGGATCCACACACATACACACACCCCGAAAGACCACAATACCTTGCTCTCTTCTCGCTCTTCGGTTCGTGGTGAAAAGGCTTCTGGGAGTTGCAGTCCAAGAACATCTGGGGATCATAAGCTTGGGAAAACGGTGCTTTAGGGGAAAAGGGATTAGCAAGAATGGGGGGGCTCTATTCCCAGTTCTAAACACAGATGGAGGGGATCCACACACATACACACACCCCGAAAGACCACAATACCTTGCTCTCTTCTCGCTCTTCGGCGTGCATCCAGATTGGTTTATTCTCTCCTACAGAAAAGCAAGGAAAGGAGCACATGTGATGTAAGGGGTGCAGAAACGTCCCTCGGAAGGAACTAGCTGCAATCAATGAGTTACTCGTCATCAATTCCTTTCTATGAGAACCAAGACTTTATAAAGCTTCCCCCTCTTTTTAGCTCTACCTGGACACGCCGGGAATTGAACCCTCCATCTTCAACGAGTGAACCCCAGATGGCCGGGGAGGTGGGGGCAATGGTTAATTCAGCAAATGACTGGCTTCAGGACTGGGAATCAAGCCTCGATACAAACCTCAGCCGGGGCCACCCCTTGGAGGCCGTACCGTCCAAGCTGAGGTGCTTGGGTTAATGGTCGTCCCGAAATGAGTTAGTTCATATTGCCTTTTTTTTTTTAAGGAAACTCTCCAAAAACTAATTAAAAAAAACACATTAGCTTCTACTTCTTTAAAAACATTAATATTCTAAGCCAAAACCCCCATACAAATCCCCCAGCCACTTCGGAAATTCTAAATAAATGAGTCATTAAGAGGATTCAACCTGCCCCAAACTTGTGTGCGCTTAACAATAAATACCGACGTTTGCTATTTGTGTCATGAAGGTGGCGTGTCTTGGAATGTGTAACTGAACAACGCAGTACATGGGTGTGTGTGTGTGTGTCTGTGTTCATATGGGAAGGACTAGGCTGTTATTCAGTAGGGTTCCCGTATCAGAGGAGATCAAATCAAACCCAAGCCGCCCCCCCCCCGGGCTCTGGCTCCCTCCCACAAGAACCTATTTACTGCCTGTACATTTGCTGTTTTTATTTTGTTTCACAGAGAAAAGTTCAGACTTTTTTTCCCTCTCCTAGACTCGTAGGACAGGCGGCTGACTGAGCAAAACAAGGTGGGGTTTCGAGGCCGGGCCCCTTTGATTCACCCTCCGGGGAAATGCGGTCGAAGGACTCTTAAGGCGAAGCCTGCCAGCTCTCAAGCTGAGTCATCAGGTGTGCCGGCTCGGCCCCGGCCACCCAACTGTGCAGGCCGTCAGGCTACGCCGGTTTCTTCAGCAGCCCCAAGACCCGGTGATCCCCAGAGACAGCGAACCAGGAGGGGAGGCTCAATCCGGAAAGATCAGGAAGAGGAGAGAGGCCGCACTATTGACGTAAACCGGCGGTGCACGGCTCCAGAGGTTGTGGGACGACAGGTCCCAGCATCCCCCACCATTCTGGGGCTGATGGGGTTTGTAGCCCCGCAATATATGGAAGGCTACGCTTTGCCCAGCCTTACTAGAAGGCCTG